AAAACAAAGAAATCGTGTTCTATTATCTGAATGTTTTTAATAAAAAATAAAAACATGAAAACTTCATACTTAATTCAGGTTGTAAGTTCTCTAAGTCACTTTAATATGTTAACTTAAAAACAAAAAAAGAAAAGATCTCTAAACCAACTCTAAGTGTTTAATAACTTAAATTAATCTCACTCTTTTTCTTTTTTAGTCAAATTTTATTTTATTATCCATGTTCTACAAATAATAAATAAGAACTACCACTTATTTGATCTCCTAAATTTATTGTGTGTCTATATATATATATATATATATATATATTCTATATTAGAATCCTATAAAGAAGTGATTTTACAGAAGAAAACGAAAAAAAAAAAAAAAAAAAAAAAAAAAAAGCCACTACTTTTTATAAAAGCCAATAGTTGCAAAGAAAGAGCATAGTGCAAACGAAATAACTTATGTTCAAAGATTCATTTGCAAGTCTTCTAAAAACATTCATGATAAAAAAGAATTGTGAAAGATGAGGAAACACATAAATAGATACACTAAAAATAAATTAGAGTAAAAATAAATAGATCTAGTTTATAACAAGAAATCCAAAATTTTGAGATGGAAGGTGCAAAGGAATTTGCTTGTAATATGAACCATTAGATGTTGAGATTTGGATTTTACTGCTCGTGTATTGGTGCTAGTTGTGCAAAAATCAAGCAAAATTAATTGCAATCAATCATATCAAGTCCCTTTAAATCTATTCATTTTATATTTTTTATTTATTTATTGGGTCAAAAAAAATATTTTGTATATTCCAACACTGTATGCAAATATATAAAATTTTATGTTTTGATAAAAAAAAAATATCAAAAATAGAGGTTTAATTTAAAATTAAGTAAATAAATAAATATTTATCACAATCCATTTTGCAATTGGATTCTTTTAAAATTACAAGTATTTCATATCATCAGTAGAAAAGCCAATTTCCAATTGCCTTTTAAACATTAGTAAACATCACCTATGTAGAGTTTAAAAAAATAAAATAAATCTAGTCTCTAACAAAAGAGCAAGAGTAATAAATATATTCATTTATTTTTGCACCTTTCAATTAATCTATGAACAAATGAATATAAATGGAGAAATTGCAAAGTTAATGAATGAAGGAATGAACACAAGAGGAGGAAGGAGTATTACAAATTCATTTCATTTCATATATATATATATATATATATTTATATATATTTCCTTCACCTTTGTTAGTTGGGATCACATGACTTTTGGTGGCTTGAGGTGATATCTTATAGCTTTTGGCAATGCAATGCATTATTGGCGGAGCCATTCACAATCATTGCTTACATATATATATATATATATATATATATATGTATATAAACAAGAGAAAATAAATAAATAAAAAGGGTAGTTAGAAAATGGAATGGAGTTTTGATGGTGTACAACAAAATGGAGGCCCGCTCTTGCTCTCACACTCTCTCTCTTTCTCAACGTGCTTTTCAAGCGGTGCAATTCTCTATTTGTGGGCCACCGCTACAAATAGAGAAGTAAAGAATAAAGAATAATGAATAAAAACCCACCGCAATCCTACCCCATTGCAACTATCAATACAACCCTATTATGACTACAAATTCAACTTCAACTCCATGACCCCATGACACTCATGAGAGAGGAGCAAGTGAAGGATGGTGCTTGACACAATGGAGCACCAACTCCATCACCACCCATCTCAAATCCGAGGTGGTTGGATGGTATGGTCAAACCCTTCATTCAACAACATCGACATCAACATCCATCTTTATTACAATTCCAATATATTGAATGACTACACAAATGTGAACCTTCAAGGACATCCTCATCAGCCTAGCCACAAATTTAGGGTTAGGGTTTTGGGGTGGGGTGCTGTCGCATCCACAGGTAACCACATGGAGAACCACTTGGTGGGTTCTGTTTTTTCTTTTCTTTGTTGTTGTTGTTGTTGTTGTTTTTGTTTTTGTTGCACTTGTGGAGTCAGGTACTGAATCCAGTCTCACGTTGTGGGGTATACAAAGCATGGGGGGGGGTGTTGGAGTTGCTTCAAGCTTTCCTATCCTCTTTTTATCTTTTAATTTTTGATTTTTTAAAATTTCATAATTTTTTCATCTCTCTACTTCCCTAATCATCCTCTTATTTTTTTGATTTTTTTGATTTTGATTTTGATTTTTCTTTCCACAAATTTTGTCAGCAGTGGGCCTCATGGCAGTCAAGATTGTGATCCTCCTTCTATTCCCAACCACTCTACGTATGTATATATATATATATATATATATATTTGAATGTTTTGAAACAATAATGTAATCTTCACCCCTTTTTTCCCTCTCCCTTGGTGGTGTTGTCTTGTCTCTTGTTCTTTCTCTTGTAATTTTTGATAAAACTATTTAATTACTGGCAGCTTAGAAGTTCAATGGGTTTCATCAATTCTGTTGATTGCACAATAAAGATATCGACAGTTTTTGTATAACTAGTAAATAATAATTAGATGTTGAAGATAAGTGTGTGTTTCTTTCATATATTTATATATATATATATATATATATATATGAACTTCTAAAATGTGCAAACTATCTACAGTTTTTACTTTTCATTTTTTCGTAAATTTTTATTTTTGATAAGAAGTATGAAGTATTTACTCCTTCAACAAGTTGGAAATAGAAAAACTTGTGTATAGTTTACAATTAATGATATAAAAGAATAAAAATAATAGAATCTATTTACAATGTCTTTCAGAAGATTATTTTAGATTTATTTATTTATTTATTTATTATTTTCTTAGTAATTTTCTTCATAAGGTTGATTTTACAGACCTTCAAATATATTAGTCGGAATTTATCAACCTATAAATTACAATCTAAGTACCAAATACACAAGGATACTTGTTCTATACTTTAAAATATAATTTCTTAAGGATGAAGTAAATTAAAATTTTTAAAATGATTCTATTCCGAATATTGATTTAATTATGAATCACAATACAAAGTAAAATGAGAACTAAATAAAAAAAAATACACATACATATATATAGATATATATATAGATATACAAACTGCATGCTTATCATACTACAAGTTTTAAGCAATGTTAAGGATATAAATGCGTATGAGAGAGTAGTGATAAAAAAAAACACATCTATTTTCTAAAACATTCTTAAGCTAGTAAGCAACAACATTGTAAACAAATATTTATATGTAAACTTGGACCAAGCCGTATAGAATCGTATACAAAGTATTCCATAGAAAGAGGAGACTTGCAGATGATTAATGTCAAACAAGTGCATTCATGTTCCTAGTTCTTTTTGTTTTCTTCCTCTTCTTCTCCTTCTTCATAATTGTTTGTTTGTTTTTCTTGCTTTTCGCTTGTTAGTTTTTCATGATTCCTTTCTCCTTGTTGGTTTCTAGTTTGTATGACTTCTTATTAATATGTTCATGTTTATGTTTTTTTTAATGCTTTCTTTCTAATCATTCTTGCATTTTGTTGTTGTTTTTATTTATTTTACGTTGGCATTGTTTTAGCATGGCCCTGGTGGAGGAGGAGGGCATGGTCAAAGCTTGGCCATAGTGAGTGAGTGATGCCACCATAGGCCAACGGTGGTTGGCAAGTCCATTTCGAAGGGCTCAAGTGTCGATGTAATGGGCCCCGAGGGTGGGGATTTATTTTGTGTGTCGGAGTGCCATCTTCATGGGGTTGTACATACCAAGGGGGCTTGTTGTCCTACACACGGAAGTTTGAACAACATTGATGGCGAAGGCTTTGGCAAGCTTCCACATTTGTTGCCCCTTGCATGCCATCACGTACCATGGCCGCCATTTGGTTAAGGCCCCATTTTTCTTCTTCTTTTTCTTTTGTTTGATTTTTTGTTTGGAAACAGATCATGTTAAAGTTTTGAATAATGATGATGTAGAGGAAGACTAAAAAAAGCTTACAGACTTGCATACTTCTCAAAGTTTTATAATACTGAGTTGTCTAAGAAGGTTCCAAACTTCATTGTGGAATATGCTGAATGAATTGGACATCCTTCTAAATGAGAAACTGAAATTTATTTTTTATTTTTTACTTTCTAGATGTTCAATTGTAATTTCATTTATACTTGGAATTGATAATCCCATCAACAATTTAAGAACAATTTGAAGCCTATTGGAGTTATAATCAGCAAGTTGTAATCATTTTATTGTGAATAATTTGGCTGAGTGCTACTGTAATGAATTCTCTCACAAGCTAAATGGTTACTTGAAAATTAACAAGTTAACAAAAGATTGTTCTGAAAAATCTCTACAGTTTCTGTTAAGCAATTTAAGTTTTTTTTTTTTTTTTTTTTTTTTTTGTCTATACTTTTCGATTATTTATTTTATTTTTTCTAAAGAATACATAGCAAACTTAATCTTAGTTCAAAAAATAGAGCATATCATTACTCATGTAAAGGTATAGCGATAGAAATTTCAAGGTCCAATCATCTTACATTTCAACATATCACAAAGAAATTATGTTGGTAATAACAAATTAAAGCTAATCACAAAATTTGGGGGAAATTCCAATTTTAAATCTAATTCAATGCCTTAAATATGATTACTGATCCTAATTTACAATTATATATGATAGTAATGACAGATCCCACCACACAGATACGATCTATATGCATAGACAGGGAATTACCCTCCATTTCCAAATTTATTATTGAGTTTTCTCTGTGCATAAGTGAAAACATTGCAAACTACACTGTTTTCTAAAGAAATTAAATCAGTGTCCCTAATGTTGGTGAAGAAGACTTTATGCTGGTAAGTAAAAATATGTTTCACTAGATACACTCTGCAGAATACCATATCGTGAAGCGCACTACATCACCAGAACGGCTCAAGCATAGCACTCACACACGAACAGTAGCATGCATCTTGAGCAACGCAATAGTTCATTAACATAGAATCTCATGAAGCAATAAATATGACAATAGCGTTAACACCACGAATGTCTATCAAGGTATGTGACCTGCAGAATATGCACTTATTAATTTGTGCTGATTAGGATTTTTTTTTTTGGAACCACATTCATGAGTTTAACATTTAATCAGAAGAATCGTCGCCCCCACCTGGTGTTAAATAATAATCAAGAACAAGGCGTAGAACAATCGCTAAGAGCACCGCACAGATATTCGAAACAGCTCGGTAACATCGTAATCTACAGAACTAGATCTCTATAATTGAATGCAGTAACCCTAAAGAACATGATCTACAAAATTGACTTCCTATGATTGCCAAGGATCGTTCTCTGCTATGACTTCAGAAGCCTCGACAACCTCGGAAGGACTTTCAGAAGAGGTGGCTTCATCGGTCGGTAACTTCTGTTCTGCGCTTTCTACCTTACCTTCACTTTCATTCTTTCCAATCAAAGCTAGGCCCATCATCTCATAAACACGCGCCCCAAACTCAGCGGGATTCTCAGGCTGCGCATTACAAAGTCAATTCGAATTAATAAACTGTAAGCATGAACATGGGACCAGTAACAAGAAAACAAGACGATAGCAGTGACATACAACACGACGTCTGATTTTAAGTTCCAGGTCTTTGTCAGCTGACCAGAATTATAAGTGAGGAACCAACTCGAGGAATCAACTTACCGTGAAACCACTGGATAGCAGAGCAGTCTCATGAAGAAGGTTAACCATTGCCTGCGCGCGTGGATTCCTTGGAGTGTCTTTACAAGCAACCTGAAAAAAATAAGTGGGCTCACTTGTGTGTACAAATTTGTAGCTTTCCAACAATTCGAATGGCTCCAAAAAGTGAAAATTGGAAACACACTAATCCATTAATGCAAGCACATAAACTGACGTACATTCAAGTCCTGAATGATGGGGTGGTTGGGGTTAATTTCAAGGATGCGGCGTCCCCGCATAAACTCCATTTGTGAGTTATCACCCAAAGTTTGCGCCTTCATAATTCTGAAACACAACGTATTGAAATAACCACACAAGAGATATCAGATACTTGCTGTCAGCTGCATCAAGCGATAATGGCTGTGCTGAAAAGGAAAAGGCACATATAAGTAACATTCAACGCATTGCCAGTCATCCATTGAAAGTGTATGGTTAACTAGACAGTGCAAGAAGTTCAATGTACAATGATCATCCTCATGGCACAACGTTCAGTGGTTGCTTCTGTAATCTCGCATGGTTTCTTCAATATACTGAAGACAAAATTGGCAACGTTCAGCAAGAACTCAGAAAATAGGCTTCCGTACCTCTCCATGTTAGCAGACCACCCGAACTTTCCGGAAACAAGCACACAAGGTGAAGAGCTGATACGTTTGGAGACGGCAACCTTAGCAACCTTGTCACCAAGGTTTTGCTTCATCCAGTCGCACAATGCTCGGTACTCCTTTTCAGTCTCTTTTTCCTTCTCCTCATCAACATCTCCTGAAGCGCCAAAAACATTACGCCTTAAATCTCATGAAACATGGAACATGAAACAAGCTTTGTAATTTTATGAAACACGATATCAATTAAAATAAATATCTTCCTGAATGCAGGACACAATGCATAACGTAGCAAAGCATCAAAAATCCAAAAGTCATCAACAACCCATTACCAAGATCAAGATCTTCTTTGCTGATATCTGCAAACTTTTTGTCCTTGTAGGATTGCAAGTTGGAAATAGCAACTTCATCAATGGGTTCCACCAAGAGTAGAACCTGTGCACATCATGAAACAATGTCGTTACTCAAAAGAGTGTATCATCAATCACCCATATCTACCCCTTAAAAAAACATTTTTTAAAAATAAAACGGTACTTAACATATGAAAATATACAACAATACGCTAGATATTGCCAACAACCAACTTACAGGAATCCACAACGAACTTACCTCCATATCTCTTTTGACAAGCTCTTCGAGGAAAGGTGCACTTTTTGCGCTCTTCAGTGAATCTGCAGCCAAGTAATAAATTTCTTTCTGATCTTCCTTCATGCCTTCCACGTACTCGTCAAGACTGATCAACTCCTCCTCCTTCTTGCTAGAGTTGAACCTAAGCAGGGGCGCTAGTCTCTTGTGATTTGCGGTGTCCTCGACACACCCTAATTTCAAATTCTTTCCAAAACTAGTCCAGAACTGCTTGTAATCCTGACACAAGTAGTAGTAGAAAACTTGAGCAAAACCATGCCTAGACTTGGCAATGACATTTACCACGGTTGAAGCAGTGGTATCAGTTGCAAAATGATAATTGCAAAATTCATTTCTCCACATTTACTGCGTACCTCCTTCTTTTCACGATTAGCTATCTCTTCAATCATATCAAAAGTCTTTCTGACCAATCGCTTCTTCATAATGCGAACCTGTATCAACCATCCCGATCGTGCACAATCGTGTAAATTCATGTCAATAAGTAGAGGGCAACTTGAACCATAGATACAGCTCCTTCAATAACCATGATGATGCATTTAGCTTGCAGTAAACATGGGCAATCAGAACCGTCAATTCCATTCAGTGTTTCATTATAGAAATCAACGTAGCGCTTGTAATATTGTTATTAGACATTCAGGAAGAATGTAAGAGAGGACTCACAATGCGGCTCTCTTGTAGAATTTCACGCGACACATTAAGAGGCAAATCGTTGGAATCTACCACACCCTTTACAAATCCCAAGTATCGCGGAAACTGCCACGCCGTTCCAGAGCATCAGCATCTATTCAAACTGAGTACTAAACATATTATTTCAGACAACCACTTCACATGGTTCGTAAAGATAATGAAACAACCAAACAGCACTCCGATGAGTACGATTAATATAAATATGGGTCTTGGCAGATTTCAAAAAATAGTGTCGAAACTCCAGCAACAAGCAGGTATTTGCAGCTTACCAGTTCTCCGTCGAATTCATCTGAAATAAAAACTCTCTTCACATACAACCGGATGTTCTTAGTTTTCCCACTGACCATATCCTCAGAATTGAAAGGGGCCATTCCTGGAATATATAACAAGCTTTTGAACTCAATTTCTCCCTGCAAACACAAACAAGATACTGATGACTCGTAAGTTCGAAACTTCACAATAAAAAAGAAGTAACACACTGTAACTGCGAAACACGTATGCGCAAAAAGATCACAACAGTTTCACTGCCGAAGAGCTACATACGTTTAGCACAAGTGAGATACCTCGGTACTAAAGTGAATGTAGGCCTGCGGGTCAATAAATTCCTTAAACGTGCTCTTGTAGAAAGTGCTGTAGTCTTCCTTCGAAACATCCTTCGAATTCCGCAACTGTATCAACAATATTTGCCAAAATAAGAGATACGAGGTGTAACACATATACGAGACAATTAAACAAACGATTGAAAAAATCGAAATGTAAGTCAAACATAAGAAAATATTGTATAGAATAGCTGATAATTCCTCCGGTGGAATATCAAAGTTACCTAGAGAAAAGTCCTAAAGAAAACTTACCCAGATAGGCTTCGTTTCATTGACAAGCTCCCAATCCGAGTACTTCTCAGATATCTTCTTCATTTGCTTCTCCTTTGGCTTGTCTTCTTCAGTCACCTCTTCACTCTCGGTATCTTCTACCTGCTTGCCAGAAAGGGAAAACACAGGACCATAACTACACTTTCAAGAGCTGAAACAACACTCTTGACCACAATATGAAATGTGAAAACACAGCCATTACAACCAACGTATCCAAGCCTAGTAATAGTATTCCAGGCAGGTGTATGACTGTGTACCTCCACTTCACGAGTCTTCTCCTGCCAGGTGTAGATAGGAAATGAGATGAACTGAGAGTAGTTCTTGACAAGGTTCTCAATCCTAATAGGATCCGCATACTCGAACTTCTCATCTTCCTGTAAAATCCATCCAATATATTAGTAACACAAGCTAACATTTCCATGCACCTTCAAAACAAAACTCTTCTTCCCTTTCTCAGCACGTTAGCGCCACCGGATGTCCAGACAAACAAAAATATATCATGGCCAGAGACGATGACTTCAGGAGGCTACCTTCAGATAAAGTGTGATGACGGTTCCACGAGGAACCATCCTCTCAGGGTCAGTCTCCTCCCGGATGGTGTATGAACCGCTGTCAGCCTCTGCTTCCCAGACATATTGCTTATCAGACTTGGCGCTCTTGGTTGATACAACAACCCTCTGGGCGACCAGAAATGCAGAATAGAAACCCACACCAAACTGCCCTATCAGGTTGTCAGAACTGTTCTCCTTGTTTTCCTGCTCAAAGATCCAAAAAGTGGATAAGATATTGCACTGAAAATAGAAAATAGGAACAGGAACGCGGCACAAATTCATGCAACATACATGATAAGAAGAAAATACACCGAAAGTTACCAAATACAGATTAGACACAAGAACTCTGCATTGTAATCAAGCGTCAAAGAACAAGGTGAGACAACATCTAGAGCTCGAAAAACAGTTGTGAAAGGGTGAGATAAGATTCCTGCCCGGTAAATTACCGACCTTCATTGCCTTCATGAACTTTGCCGTTCCACTCTGAGCGATAGTACCCAAACTATCAACAAGTTCTTCCCGAGTCATTCCGATTCCAGAGTCTCTGTAGAATAACCAACGAGATGGGTCATTGGTATCGTAGATGTCCGAGAGAACCATTAGAACCAGAAAACTTACATTCGACAAACATTCAAACTAATAATCTCCGCATACTTAACATTCAGTCACGTGTACAAATCGTAAACACTCACATAAGAGTAATGGTGCCGGCATCCTTGTCCGCCTTGATGCGAATTTCCATATTGGGGTTAGGCTCCATAAGTTTCGGGTCTGTCACGCTGAGGAACCTCAACTTGTCCAAAGCATCACTCGCATTGCTGTATTATCAATTAATACACAACAACAAGGTCAAACCAGTGCATTTAAAATAGTACGAGACATTGTGAACCGCGGAAATACAACAGACTGATAGTTCGAAGCAGTCCATCCCTTGTATCAAGATTTAAGTAGTAATTATCAATGATTCAAATTACATATCATTTTCTTTCAAACATGATTTACGAGTTCTTAGCAACGTATTCCATGAGAGGTCAATAAGACTCCCGCCTGTCGGGAACAGTCTGGGACCCAAAGAAGGACAATCTTAGACGACTAATCCCCTCTCCTACGCAGGAAGAAATTTTCAACTGTATTACCTGACAAGCTCCCGAAGAAAGACTTCTTTGTGGCTGTAAAGACTGTTTACAATCAAATCCATCAACCGGCTGACCTGTAATATACCACAAAAGCTTTGAGATATCGAATTCAACCTTGGTCAGCAATTCTTACCGGCTAGCTGGTTACATGTCATGACACAAATTTTACAGCGCACGATAAGCAGATCTTTTTAGATGCTTAAACTTGGAAACATTTTTTTGCTGCTGAACGAGTTGGCTGAATCAAAAAGATTCCTGCAGAGTTCTATCGTTAACTTCAGCAGGTTAACGATTGCTAATTAGGAAACTATCTCAGAAAACAATCACAACAGGATATAACTAACACCACAAACACCGTACCAATAATCATATGAGGAAAGAAATTACCTCGGCTTGATACTCGTATTTCTCCACAGGAGATTCCTTTTCAGCGACAGTTGCATCGCATCTGATACTGGTGCGACCGGCGGCAGGAGTACTAGTTGACTTCGATGCAAAGAAAACATTAAATCCGTTCGCGCGTCCAGAGATAGACGCAGAAGATCTCAACACGGTTCTTTGACTAGGCAGGAACGAAGTCTTAGACTGAGACAATCTCCCTCTTGGTGATGCGGTAACGGTAGAGACCGAAATCTGTTGACACCCAAATCAGTATCAAGTCAGCATGTGCATTCCAGGGCTCGAACAGCACAGCTAAATAAATTACACGACTGTATTACCTGACAAGCTCCCGAATAAGTTACAGAACTGACCACAGCAACTGAATTTGGCGACGAAACCAACCATGACCTCGAGTATTCAACAACATGAACCCAAAAAAATGCTAGCACTCACTTACTCTAAATCATCGGAGTTAATACTCAAAAGGGGGGTAAAGAAGCAGATAGGTCAAAAACAACTAACCAAACAAACTCAAATGCAAGTAGCACACGAGCATAGCAATGACGAGGAAAACTCACTCTGTCAGAAGAAGCTCGCAAGGAGCCGGCTGGAAGCGGGGCAACAACGGCAGGTCCATGAACAGCAGCCAAAGATGCAGCGGGCGCCATAGTTACGTCCTCCAAACGTAAAACCTAAAATTGTAATTCCTCGCAAAACCTCTCCGCCACAACAATCCTCAAGATTCAGCGTAATGTTCCTTAACAGCAGCCAAAAAATGAAGCTAGCTCTAAAAAGAATAATAAGGATAATAATAATAATAATAATAATACTAACACAAGTAACGAAGCTGGCTCTACAAGCTCGGTTGTGCCGTTCAAGTGCAGCACTTCGAGCGAGAGCAAAAATTGACTCAAAAATTCATCACATTTCTTGGAGACGATGCTTTGGTGATAAACCCTGGCAAAACCCCAGCGCGGGTGTCACTTCACCCGGCCCGGTCCCGGCCCCGTACCCTCTCCGAATGTGTCGGTCATAGGCTCAGCTTAGGTGTTCTCACGTGGACGCATGACAGGCGACGATCTGAGGAGGTGCGAGAGACTCGACTGAAGGATCGATCACGACGATCCAGAGCCACACATCGGAATCCCGATAACCAAACTTTTGTTTTCCAAACTTTTGGTGACCACACCGTGGATTTTACCGTTTGAGCAATGAACATGTTCACACCGCTCTCTTCAACTTCCATTGTCGACGTGAATACATTCATATCCAACATATTCAATATATATATATATATATATATATATGTAATCCTCAAATCTGCTAAAACATCAATAATACCCCGTTGATATTTCAGCATATTGATATTTCAGCATTGACATTTCCATATTGGTTGAAAACCGATGAAAAAATTAATTAGGTCCTCAACTAATGATGATGGTTGCTAAATTTAGCAAATTCTTGGGTCAATTTCACAATTTCCTATATATATATATATATATATATATATATAATACCAAATACAATCAAAAATGTAATTTTATATTTTTTTGAGAAATGAAAGAATCACAAAGGTTTTCTTTAAATACATTTTAGAACACCTTCTTTTTCAAAAATCTCTATTGTATTGAAAGATTGATGTGAACCTCAAAGTTTATGCTAAGGATTTTTTTTCTTTAACATTTCTAAAAAAAAAAAAAAAAAAAAAAAAAAAATGTATGGAGAGGATAGCTTGTGCACACACGATCATATAGTTATAAAAAAAAAATTGCTCCCAAGGTCTCAGTAAAAAGTGCTGTAGTCACCAAATCTAGTGGTATGATATTTTTGGAAAAGTTGCATAATCAGAGGACCATGATTTTCTCATGATTCATTAAAATTCAGTAAATGAATTATGCTTTAATAAAATTAGCTAAGAGGATAGTAACAAAAAAATTATTAAAAGTTGCAAGATATGATTCCAAAAATATCTGAAGACACACATTCATTGCCCAAATGGTGAAATCCACAGTGAAAGAATGTAACAATTATTAAAAATATTTGTATGTTTTTATTATATTTTTTATGTTTATGTACATTTAAATCTGATAATATGGACATATGTTTTTACAATCGTAAGTTTTATTTTGTATTTAAGAATATAGAATGTCATCTTGAGAAATAATTACTATAACATTCTAAACAAAGTGTATGTTATCTAAAATCAATATATTTTTAATAAAATGAATTGAAATATTAAAAAAGACAATATCAATGTTTAATATTTAAGAAAAATCATGGCATATTAGTTTTTAATTGTCAAGGTACCAACAAAAAAAATGATAACTTTAATTAGCAATATAGTATTAATTGCCTACAGAAGGAAGAAAAAAAAGATGGTTTTGTTATGAACTTGTACAAAATCCAAAATTAAAATTGTTTGTAGTCAAAATTTTGTTTGATTGCTGCTAATCTTGTTTAGTTCTTAACCACCAAATAAAAAATTTATAAATATTAACAGAAGATTCTTAATTTCTTAAAGCTAGTCTAATTTATTTACAAAAATATATTGTTTTAGAAAAATGACACATACAATACCTAATTAAAGAACAATGCAAACAAATTGTAGAAAAATTAGTGGTAGTTATGTTGAACCAACATCATATATTATATTTACAAGATCATTTTTTATTATAAAAGTTGCAAAAATAAACAAATTATACTTGATGTATTTTTTCTTATATCACGAGGCATCCGAAAAATGTATATTTAATTCTTAAAACATATTTAAAGGTCACAATTAGGTCAAAAAAAAAATTTAAGAAAAAGAAATAAGAATTTTTTTTTATCTCTACCAAATCCAAAAGAAAATATGTAAATCATGTCATTGAAAAACATTAAAAAACAAGAGTAAGGATTTAATATGCATATATATAATATCATTAATACTGATAAATTTTAAAATTTAAAATTTTCTATTAATAATCAAAGATTCAAAAATTATAAAGTTTTTTTAATGATATATATTTAATTATTTTTAATTACCTAAAAATAGAAAATTATTTTGAATTTAAAAATTAAAATACTTAAATCTACAATATCTTTTAAATATTTTCAATAAATAATTCTTTTGCTAATTGTTTGAATTTGATTAATTTAAATTTAAAAGAAAAGAAATGTATTTTTAGTTTAGTTATAAATTTGATTAAGTCACAAATTCCTTAAATGTAGATTTGTTAAGATAATAGAAAAAATAATAGTGGTGCATGTTTAGTAAAATGCAAGTCACAAAGTTACATAAGATAGTGTATAAAAATTTAAACTTGAATCTTTAATATATGATAATATTTTTTATCAAAATTAAGTATAAATTATTACTATCCTTGTAATTTTAAATTTATTTTAAAAAATTAGAATAATAAATCTTAAAATTATAAAATAAATTAATGGATATTTAGATATTAAATATTAAATAATTCACTTAAAAAGATTTTGTAAATTATTTATTTAAGTTCAATTGTGTTAAAAAATATTTTGTAATTATATTCTAAAACATGACTTATGCTTAAAAAAAAGGTTATAAGTACTCAATATCACATTTAACCTAAAGTTAATTAAAAAAAAACTTTGGTTTTAAAATATATTAATAATTTAAATTATATTAGATTATAAATTTTAGATATCATAAGGCTTTTTGTATTATTTATAGATAAAAATAAATATTTTTAGTGCTCATATTGAAATTATTTAACATGATGGCTTTAAACAGTAGTTTTAATATAAAAATATTTTACATGGTTGTTTTATACAATGATCCTTAAACTTATTTTAAATATGTAATTTTTTACTTTCTAAATTAAAATCTATTATATACTATTTAAAGATATAAATATAATATAACATACTAAAATTATATATATATATATATATATATATATATATATATATATATGTTATTATTTTAAGTTAATAAAGAAATATCATATTTTTAATCAAAAAATAATTCCATTAGTCAACTATGAAAGTATTGCAATTACATTATTTTTTGAACTTATTAAAATCATATACATTTTTAAATAGTTTTTATTTTGTGGTGATTATTTTAATAAAATATGTAATTTAATTATATATATATATATATATATATATATATATATATATATATATATATTATAAATATAATATATCATGGATAAAAAGCATTACAATGAGTTTGACCAATTTAATAAAATTGCATACAATGAGTTTGACCAATTTAATAAATGCCCTTAGTTGTATGTGATTTTAAAGTTATACTTTATATTTGTTATATATGTAATAGATTTGATTATAAATTGCTCCAATAAAACACACAACACTAAATACATGTAGTTAAAAAATTAAAAAATTTCATTGAAGAAATTCTATTATGGAATTAAAATCTTAATAATCCTTAATTAAATATTTTTTTTTCTATTATTAACTAAAATTATAATATTTTATTATTTTTCTAAAGATGAAGTTGAATTATGTCATGAAAATAATTATTTAATTAAAAATTTAATAAAACTATAATTTATTAATAAATATAATATAAAAAACCTAAATTTAAAATAAATATATTGATAAGATGCTTGTTTATTTTTTGAGTTTTTTATTTTAAGGTAAATAAATTAAATTAAATATAAATATATTAAAATATTATATTATATTAAATTAATTATATTTTATATAAGATTTTAAAATAACTTAATATACATTTTTTGAAAAATAAAATTTATATTGCATTTATAAAACTAATAATTTTAAAATATTAAAAATTAAAAAATATATAAAATAATTTTTATATAAAATAAATATTTATTTTGTAAATAATATATAAATATAAAATATATATATATATATATTATAATGTCATATTATAATTGCTTATAGTATGTAAAAATTAATTAAAATATATAATATGTTCATAAGTCTTAATGTGTATTAGAGTGATTAATAGGATAATTTAAAGAAAGTTGATGCAAAAAAAATTATTTTGAGATTTACTTATTTTGATTATAGTGTTTAAATTACGTAAGATTTAGATATTTAATATATGAAGTTTTAAAAAAGATAGGAGCTAAAAGATGAAGTTTCAAACTATTAAGAAGCTTATTTGGAGGGATGAAAGCAAGGTATAGGCAAATGAAGGCAAGGGGTGAAGGTCTTCATCCCTATTGGTCAAAAACCATATCTAATTGGCTTTCAGTAAGTTGCATGCGACCATAATAAGGATTTTGGCAACTTCAAAAGGAGCATTCAAGAATAAAAAGCAATAATTACAAGATTTAAAATTTAGAATTTAGACTACAATTTGTATGTAAAATTTAGAAGGTTTGGAGTTAAGATGAAGAAATTATAGCCATTTGAAGATAAGGTGACTTTTGAGACATATTGCTGTTCTTTTGAAGATACAAAAATTTGTATGATAGCTTTTAGAGATCAAGAGATATGGCCACAAGAGTGATTTTAAGACCTATATCTTTTATAAAAGAATTACTATATTTGGAGTTTATATGAAAGAGTTATAGAACGTTGAAGATAACATATGTAATTCAAAGGCACTAAGTGAGTGGTTTTGTTGATACTAATGGTTAGAGCCATATCTTAAGTTTTTAGATGAATTTTTGGCTCAAAACTTCCAAAAGCATGAATTATTAGGTTAAAAAGCTATATATCAAAATTTTATGGTATTTGAGTACTTAATTTGTGAGATGTGAAGAAAATTGTACGTGGATATATATAAGCAAGGATTTGAAGCTACTATTAGAGTTTTGGCAATATCTTAAGATCCATAATGAATTTACAATTAAAATTTATTTTAGTAGTTTTTAAAAGTATATTAATACTTTGTATAAAATTTTAGTTTGTTTAGACCATCCAATTGTGAGATATGAGTTTTTGAAGTTTAGGAAAACTTCACCTTAAGGT